AGAAGCAACAGACGATTTGCGCTTCTGCTTTATTTATTATAATGTTAGAACTTGTAAATGTTAAATCGAGTTTTTGCTATACTTTTACCGTCATCACTTATTCTTGTCGGTTCACTCATTACTTCTTTCACAAAACTGAAAAAGTTCTGTATCTACAACTGTTGAAGGATGCACGTTACACCGCTCATTGCAATGTGCATTAATACGTAATTAAGACTACTGCGTTAATGTATGTTCAAGCAGCGACTCGATTAGTCTCACATTTCGATTCGTGCATCACGGTTTCGCTACTTTCCTCCTTAAATTTCTCGCACTGATATGTAAAGTTTTGTCGCCCCATAATCATAGATAATACTTTCGTGTTTGCTTTGTTCATTCTGTTGATCCTTAAAGCAGTTTTAGACAAGAAAATATAATTTAATAATATAATTTGGAATTTCTGTTCTCTATAAGTTCGTAGTTATCCAAACAATATTATTCTGATCGTACTATTATCAATCCAAGCAATTTATTAATAATTTTCCATTTATCACTGGAACAGTATCCGGGTACGGTTAAAACCCGATTAAGCAGCTTATGCACTGCACCAATCAAAATAATCAGGTACACGGTAATTAAATCAAAAACATCTACCATAAGTTATCAACCAAAGCACAATTATTGGCAGCACTAAAGAACATGAATATTGCAGCACCGCCTAAGGTTTCAATAATCTGATTTCGACAATTAGTTGAGATGAATCATGCTCTGCAACATGAGTCAATTGGTTCAACTCCAACATTCGTTTGCCGTTGGCCCATATTTAATCCAGGCGAGACAGCTGCTCTTAACGGCGCTTCAGATAATGAAGATGATCGAGAAAACGACCGTCGACCTTCACAGCGTATGTACAGGCTATATAATGCGCGTAGTGCCGATCAATCTCCGAGATCACAATCTCAATCTCTCCGAGATGTCGAGTATGTCACTCCAAATTCCAACGGGCGATTTTGGAACGGAAGGACATACCCCTAGTACATCTTATCATGCAAGAGGAACATTCAAGCTCACAGTATAAAGGGGACAGAAAGAACTCTTTCTTCTTCTTCTTCTTTTATCATAAAACAGAATGATCCTCATCTCACCAAATCTCTTAGCTTATCCGAATTCGTACTAGCTTTCGTAAAATGTCTTAACATCATGTGCGAAATGCACACGGATAGAAGACAAGAATTGACAGCCTATTTGGTGTTTTCGGTGAAATTTCCCTCCATCTACCCTGATTCACTGTTTTGAGAGTATCATAAGCAATTCAGTGCACACTCGCCATTTTGCACACTCGGGGTATCAAACTAGATTGGTCGAAGAGAGATGATGATTTGTATCTAGCTATTACTTCTGAGCGACAAGGACGCGCGTGTAGACGATGTCGTGGAGTGGATCATCGAATTCTGACCGACTCTCTTTCGAATAGATGTAAATTCTTTAGTCGGGGGAATAATAACAACACCACTCACACCGAATCCGAATACATAGGGTACTTTTCTACGACGAGAACTTATCTACGTGGCCGATGGTTCACAAGCCTGTTTCAATTACAATTCATTCAAAAGCTGTCATGGGCCACCGTCTCATCCGTGTCCACATTCTCATGTTTGTATCCTGTGTAAAAATAATTCCCACACAGAAAGAAATTGTCTGATGAGATTATAAAACTCTTTTCAAAGTCAAACTCAAACATTAAACTCATCACTCGATACATTGTCATCTGGCATTTAATTGAACTAAGTGACTTCTAGGTCGTCCACAAATGAGAGTGTTTTATGTATAAATCACTGTGCACATGTTGTGCATCAGGATCTAATATTTGTTCTTTTAACTTTTCAATTTCTTCCAGTTCCGTTGCAGTTTTCTATTTATCAACATCAGTTGTTCTTAGAGAACAGATTTGTTACACAATAAATCAGCATTGATACACGGTGATTTTCAAGAAATATTATCGGCCAACCATCATCATCTTTCACCGAATTATCAACAAAGTTTTTGTGTGCAAGAGAAGTAGCTTCCCAACCAGTTCATTATCCATTACACTACCATCACCATCATTAAAATCAGTACTATCGCTCAATTCTTCCGTTTTTTGATTATTGTTTTCGAAATTCTGGTATCAAAAGTCAGCCGAGTTTTCTTGTCGACAAATTATCGTACGCCAGTTATGGACAATGCATAATAACACAATTATATTGAACTTATAACTGCATGAACTTTTGGACAAAGTTTATAAGACGTAAAATATGTACCATGTTGTTCTCAGAAAAGAAGTTTTTGCGTTAACGATGTTTACCATTACAAAGATTCGTCATTCCAGGAGACAGTTAGAAAGCGTGAGAAGAAGAGACACGTCTCTTCTTCTCACGTTGAACATTCATATCGAGAAAGGAGAGAAACTGATGCACATTCGTGGTTAAAGCAATACAATGCTGAGGCAAGAGCGAACACAATCGAACAACACGTCAGTAGGATATCTGGCTTGTGTTAAAGATCAGTTCTCAAAGGAGGATTGTCCCTTTTATCTATGAAATAGTCTGTATCTGTATGAAGAGGTACTAAACTTTTATCCGTTCACAATTTATCCATTACAGAAACCGGCTATCATGTAATCATTCTGGTACACCATCATATGTTAAAAATGAACCATCCAAACTCTTATAAAAAACACAACTTTTGTCTCATCATTATCATCATCAGTGCTTATACCCTAGTACTGTAGTTACTTCTAAATAAATATATACAAAATGACGCGAAAGATGTTGGTAACTACCTGATCTTTAACACGAGCCAGATATCCTACTGACTTGTTGTTCGATTGTGTTCCCTCTTGCATTCAGCATTGTATTGCTTTAACCACGAATGTGCATCAGTTTTCTCTACTTTCTCGATATGAATATCAACGTGAGAAGAAGAGACAAGCTCTTGTAGCGCAATCGGTTAGCGCGTTTGGCTGTTAACCAAAAGGTTGGTGGTTCAAGTCCACCCAGGAGCGTATGTTTTTTGTTAAATTATGTCATATGTACTTGTTTTCATCGTTGTGGATACGGAATCAAGTTTCAGTGCAGTACTCGTCTGAATTTGTGTGAGGATAGTTTGTCCTGCTTTTTTAAGATTTTCATGGCTTTTCTCACTGCTCAGTGTAACAGACTGATCACCCGAATGACTGAGACTATCAGTTAACACTTTCACATCAGTTGTGCCACGACACATCACCCCGGTGAGCCACAACCTCACTTAACACTTTCACATCGATCGTGGTGCCACACAGCACTCATGTTAGTCACTCATATTCAATACGAAATATTCATAACAGAGTGTGGATAGTGCCTAGCAAACACCGACCGAAGGGAGGTGTGAGCGTTGTCTTTGATTCAAAGTGGAGGGTCGTTCGCAGATATAAGCCGAAAGAACAGAGTGAGGAGGGGCGTTACTTTGTTTTCTCTCTCATACTGGAAAAAATTGCTGCTTTTCTTCCTTATGACTGGGTCACCCATGATATATCGGCCAGCCGCTTTTCCATGAACGAGGCCGAACATTGCCCTCACTCAGGTTCCGTTATCAAGGGTAACTGAGAGATTGGTGATATTAGGTCTATTTCGAAAGTCTACATTACAGATAAAAGCAAATCAACCATACTTGGCTTCGAAACACGTACTCACTCTGATAAACGTTTCTGACTCGTGAAAAGCTATAGCATAGCAGTTGCTTCTGTAAACTAAGGTGGAAAATATGGAGATTCTCATCATAAAAGATATCCATCAATTTTGTAGTAACAAGATCGAATTGCAACAGAATGAGTAATAATTTCGACAGTCCATTCATTCGACTTACAGGCAATGGATCTAGTGAATCGCTGCGATTCATGTTATTTATGAATCTTTAGGCAAAATGCTCCACGGACTTGAACACAATGCTAGAGATTTTGAAAGGACTAAGCTGATGAACTCATTTCTGCCTTTTCAGAGTCATTTTCTGTAAGAGACAGAGGCTGCAACGAGATTTTGTTACAGGAATTCCCCCGTGGAAAAAATAACCTTGTAGTGCTTTGTTAGAAATTTAATGTTGCAGTGGTATTCACGCCAAAATATGAATGCAGTGTAACGATATTAACAAGTGTTAATGATAAAAGCACTGAAAGCAAGAGCATATTGTTAATAATGATTTTCAGATGAATACGAAAAGGTTGCTCATCCGGCCCATTGTGCCCAAAATTAATTCGGGTATACTCAAGTATCGCTTCAATATAGATGCGGTTATGTTTAGGCACTGAATGGCTTATGTTTTGAAATGTGAACACAGACGAAGTAGTAAAAAACAATATGTTTTGTGTTTAATAGAAAAAGTTTGCATCGTCACTTGATCGAAGCGAATTGACTTCACGCCCTAGACATCGAATCTTATATAAGAATCTTATAAATATCTTGTGAGAATCGTGTAAGATTCTTACAGGATTTTTACCAGATTCTTATGAGAATCTTATGGCAGTCTTATAAAAATCTTATATAAGATTCCCCGCGTAAGTGATAAGTGTTCGGTAAGATTCTTGTAGGACACTTATAAGGTTTTGATAAGAAATCATTAAGATATCAGTAAGAATTTGATAAGAATCTCGCTGAAATCTTAATGAAGTCTTGAAAAAAGCCAGCGTCAATTACTGATTGAATTGATTCGTTCAATAGCATTTGTTATTGTCCAAAGCGATTCCTTCCTTTAATATGGTTCTTTTTATTTCACAAAACATAAACCACGTAAAAACCACAACTTTCATAGGAAAAATAAAAAAAGAATAACTCATTTTTCTTATTTTTTACGTCCAAACACCTTTGTGATAACGATGGGTATAATTTTGTTTTCCACAGATCTGCGAATATTGATTTTCTAAGTTTAAATTTCTTTTGGACTGCCCCTTAAGAGAAAACAACTGTTAGGTGATACATGAAAGTCTAGACAGAAGGCTGCCGACGTTTTAGTCAATCAATTTTTTCTGAATCCAGTTGTTGATCTGTTAATTGTTCATTTATTAAATTTTTTAACAGCCGATTTCTCGGTAGTTTTCTTGTTTGAAGTTCTTCTCTTGAAAATAATTCTTTTAAAATATTTAATGAATATTCGGTTGGTGTTCGTCCAGGTACATCTTGGTTTGAACTAACACGACTTTGCTGTACATTCCACCACAAATTTTTCCACAAATCCATCAAAATCAAAAAATGTTCGTCTATTAAGCCCAAACCATACACGTGCTTTTCCAGAGAATAACGAGGGAATATAAGCCATCACTTAGACTGAAGGATTTTAAAGTCTTCAAACTGTACAATTGTTGCTGCTAACCATTGGTCAACTTCCTGGTTATTGCCAAAGAATCGTATAAAATTTTTACGAATAAAGTCTTCCGAACCCCTTTCATTCAAATCATCGTCATCTTTTGTTGACGAATCCTGTGACGTTGTAATTGCTGTAGGTCGCTGAGTCTGTGGCTGTAAAGAACTATCACTTGGACCTTTGACATATTGAATAAGTCGTTGTTTAATATGTCCCAGTTATTACAATCGTTGGTTGTACCGTCACATACCATGAATCAATCAAATCACTTGTTCAATTTGTTTTGTAGTTTGAAGTGTCTGTGTAAATTCTTCGAACTGTTCTTTATTAGTAACAAATTGCTGATGCTGCTGAAATTTCATGGTATTCTCTCCTTCTTCTTCGTCGGCTTCTTCAATTGCAATTGGTGAGATCTCACGAGGGAACCGCTCCAAGTGCCCCGCTCCGATTTCGTTCGTTCATGCATCATTCGATAGGGGGTCTCGAGTAGATAAAAAGCCTAAAAGGATATCGGCTGACGACTCTTTAAGACCCGGTTTTCTGAAAAACTGGTTTTTCAGAAACTCTAACAGAATAACCAAAACCTTTGTTAATGAGACATGACTGTAGCCCGCGAAACTAAACAGAGCTTAAAAGAAAGAGACAGCGCTTGATCATCATACGTAGTCAGTTCTACAAAGACAATGTTTGCAATGCTTGTTGAGATCCTTCGATCATTAAAAGGAAAACGAGGGATACTTTATTACAAAGAATAGTCAGTATACGGAGAAACTGTGAGGGCGAGACAAGCTATCATGACCGATTTCGTCCTTGCTAAAGGGACTCATCAGTTGACTTGCAGTCGTTTAATTATTCAAAATGATTCAATTCGAAGAACAATCATAAACAAATTGAAATTATCCATCTTGAGGAGGTGAGAGGGTGAGAGGACGGAAGTTGTTAAGACTGTGAAACGGCCCACGAGCTCGTTCACTTATTACACAGCCAAACGTACCTGAAAAATTGATCCCCGCCTAATTTTGAGGTGCTCCATCCGATGCGGTAATTTGTTTCCCTCCGAGCCTAGTAAGAAACGACTTTCTCGTTCATCACTTTTCTTGATATTTATCATTGATTTTCATGAACCGATGATCAGTTTCGACGTCTGGTTTCCGTATCTGGTACATAAATTCAGAAAATGCCGCATTATTATCATTGCCCTTGTAGGAACAGTTTAAATAGTAGCGCAAGCTCAAGATCGCTTAATCTTCCATCTGTTCGAATGTTCTTGTCGGTGCGGATGTTGGAAGTGGTGCCGGAAGATGCTAAAGTGTGCAATTCCTGTCGATCGGCTTACTATCAGTGGAGAAGGAAAACACCAGAATATGATGAACTATTGACTCGATTGAACGACGAAATGCCGAACATCGAGACAGGCACTGAAATGAGTATACTGCATGGAGTTCGTCGTCGTTAGATACTCATGGATGGATTGTGTTCAAATACTATGTTGGCGACATGTTTTTAGTTTCAGATAGTTCTTCAAATGAGGCTGCTGCTGCGAGGAGTCCAACACCCACGTCTCGTGTGACAGTCTCGACGATCACTTTGTCGATGAATTGCACTCTATCCGCTCATCGGTTTGTGTTCTTTGGACGTGCACATATGCTATGGATCTCTGTTGTTTTTTGCTTGTAGGAAGTGCTGCGTTTGTCAACAGTACATCGAAAAATACTGCGTAATATTGTCAGTATCAGACCGAAGACTGCTCCACTTGATGAAGAACGTATTAGTGCCGCAAGGTGCTTGTTGTTGCACTGATCACTTACGAGTTGAAGATCATCAAGAATAAACATCTTGCTCGTCCGATGGAATTGAAACGCCGGACGACGATGGGGGGTCGCATGTCCGAACAGAAAGATCTGCTCAGTTATCTGTTGAATTCCTCGTTGTCGTTGTTCGATGTCATGTGTCACAGTTCGTTAAATGTATTCTATGATTATTCTCCTTGCCAAGCAATAACGTCGTTTTTATTTTTCAGTTCATCCATTCACCATTAAATAGAGTTCTTCGAGAACCGGCATAGCCCGAAGAACAGACGCAAGTTCATTCAATGTTAATCCACTCGTGTGCTCGATCAGAGTCAATTTCGTCAAATGATGATGCAGCGGGAACGGCGATAACTTTTCAGTGCCTAAATGCACATCAAATCTCACTTCGTTCACTAGGGATGATTCTACCTACGTTTGTTTCTCGGTCGATTTAAATAGATGAGAAGTTGACGTACATTAGGGATAGCGTGTTTGCCCAACAAAATACGTAGATCGTCGAATGAGTCAAGATCAAGCTGAACATATCGAAGCTGTGTGATGACACCTTCTAGCAATTGATCCCTTAGAACAAAACCAGGCCAGATTGCAACGATGAACCGATTCCATTGTTGACGATAAAATCTCGCAGCAGACTTCGTGTTGTAATTGTGGTCGGCGAGCCTTCGCAGGAGAAGTAATCACACCAGAGTGTTTTCAGTTGCGATTGCTTGGAAATCCACGTGAGTAACGATGGGCTAAGAAAAGTGCATTTGTCCAGTTACAAGTAGACAAGGTCACTCAGTTTTGTCAAGATGATTCTTGACAAAACGAACTGAAGTGTTTGGTCAGACACGGAATGAAAAAATTACTCAAGGATAGTTTGGTGATATCCGGTTGAGAAAAGATGTGATCGATCAGAAAACGAAAGTCAGAATAGGGCAGATTCTAGAGAAAGAATTCCGTACGATGCTCGAACAAGAGACGAAAAAAACGATCTGACAGATCGGTGGAATAAAACCCTTCATTGGATCACTTCATGATAAATTGAATCTGTAGATTGATGACTACGTGATACTGCCATTCTTCGACTATCAGTGCCTGCTGATTCCTCCTTCTTCTTTCTTATCACCGTGTCTGTTCCATTGTTTGAATGCATTCATTCGAGAGAAGAACAAAAAAATGAATTCATGAAAAATCAAATAGCGGTTTGACTTTGATTCGATCTCGGTCTGATTCTCGATTGAATTCAGTATACATGGCTTTGAAAAGATGCCACTCGTCACGTCAGTGCTTCAAGTCAATCAAATGGTATGGACCGTCAACCGACAATGTACTGCACCCGCACAAGGTCTCAATGTTTACAAGTTGGCTTCAATCTTGCTCTACTCATTCGAGTGGTCGTCTCGCGAAGACTCCTTCTATCATATTTTGAATCAGGTGTTGCGTACTGTCCATCGAAAACAGTTAAGTCCGTGGTTTTTCTATCTGAAACTGCTGTTCTACTCGCTGTCGAAACTTGCACCAGCTGTTCGTACTGTCTATTGTGATGTCAAAGCTGATCTTCATTCTTCGTATCCGAAAGGCAGAATCTTTGTTTGGAGCGGATTCTCCTCGTGCACGACCTCAGTCGACGTACTTCCATCAGAAGAATTTCTCGGCACGACATGCGCTCGAAGAATGTTCCACACCGAATATTACTCAGGCAGAGACATTCGTCAACACTCGTTCCTCTCGACCGAAAGCGAAATCCTGTTGTTCGCGCTCGATTCTGGGAACGGATTACACATGGTCCAACTCGAAGATGAAGAAGAGGTGGGAACTGCCAGTGCGATGCTCTCTCTTCCTCTAGCAACAATGATCATGGCGAACAACAATTAGGATAGCTTCTTCGACGCCGATCACAATCGCGGCGAGCGACGTCGCTCCCTTCTCGAGTTTCTCATTGAACAACTTAACCGTTACAGAAGTGGTGGAACTGGTGGCCATGGATTTGGTTGAAAATAAGACGTCTTTCGTATGATTAGGACAACACAAAAGCCCAACCTTCGGTGTGTCGGTTAGAATTTTCGTTTTAAAAACGTGGTTGATGAATTATCCATCGAAACGAATGTCTCCCGGTTTACCTGTACCGAGACTTAAGTAATCCATATTGAAAACATCATATTCATGTTTCCATTTCGTCCTTTTTTCCTTTCGTGTGGTGATAGAATAGTGTCGATGTCTTTCAGGATCAGGTGTGGGTCAGAGACCCGGCCGACCAATATCTGGGACGTTCTGAGTAAATGATAAATAAAGGTTAATGAGGGATGGAGAGTCTTCACTGGAATGGAAAGAGAAACAAATTTTGCTCAAGACGAGATCAAACAATCAGCGACGTATATAGGATCTCTCGAAGTCTGCTCAAGTGTTAAAGCGAAGGATCAGCGAATATTTGAGTACACGAAAGCTGCATTGCCATGATTTTCCTATCTCAAAAGAGGACATTGGCTATTGATCTAGTCACTGATACTCTGACATTCTCTCTGATGGAGAGCAACTGGTTGAAACAAATCAGTTTCCTTCCAGCGTTCGCTTCCTCCAAAGTATCTCGAGTTCGTCATTGGAATTGATGACACTCATCGTTGTGCGAGGACTCTTCGAAACGATCTTCATCCTCTCGCAGCAGCAAATGATTTTCCCACGAACGAGAATCTCAATGTGATCATTGCTGATGGTATTCATCCCAATCGAACCATCGGTCAGAATCAGAAACGATCGTCTCATCGATAAAGAGACTCGATGTTTGAACGAGACCAATGCTGATCAACTCCAGTTCTGTGCTGGCCTAGTCTAGCGATCGAGAAAAACGAAGAGAAATTCAATTCTTCGGATTTTCTTGAATGACTCTCAAAAGTCAGGTGCGTGGGTCAATCCATGATTTGGTAATTTTCTAGCCTGATCGTCATCATTGTGGAACACCGATCGAGACTCTTCGTACCTTGTTACAACCATGTCTCTCCTCTCCAAGAGAAGTTTCATCCACTGACAGTACAGGAGAAGACACGGGAATACAAAAACAAAACATGTGCTGAGCTTACTAGGCTAGGTTTATTGTAGTGCTTATGTAAACGTAAGTTCTATGTGAAAGAAACGAACAGAAAACTGCAGTTATGCTTAGTATCTTGTCTTAGGTTAAAACAAAGAATTAAGAGCTAAAATTTTCTTTTGTACTTTTTCTAATAGTCTGCTAAAATTTGATCGTTATACTTTTCTAAATTCGCTAGTTATTGAACTTTTCTTGTTGAAGGAAAACAATGTTTTTTCCAAACCGTACAATTTTATTACTAAGGAAAACATGATGAGTTTACAGTTCTTGATAGATGCCGTGTATGATATATTGTTTTCTATCGTTGAAAAAATATTTTTGAATAAGTGCATGTTAATGTAGTGTATGAACTAAATGTAGTGTCACGCATGAAAAGCGGATATGAAAGATGGAGACCTGTACGGGTTAAGAAAACGTACCCGAACACGATCCGATCAATTTTTATTCTTTTAGAAAAAAGTCTGCTTTTTATTACTAAGACTTTTTTCTATTGAACCACGCAGGAACAATCGCAGAACTGTTTCTTTTTTTTCAATGGTGCACCATACTGGTGTTTTTCCTCTAAACTCTTCAATTGTTCTTCTAGTTTCTCGCACGGATGCTGTTCCTTGTTCTTTGCCTGTGTACGTCGCATAGGCTGTGCATTATTAAACGATATACAGTTGCTTTTTACGGTTGCTTTAGTTATACACTTATCTGATTGCGTCTTGTCATCTGAAGCAGGTTCGTATCCGTTTAATATTATTTCATCTGAAGTAATTCTTATAATATTGGTTTCTTCCAAAGTTTTAAGAACATGAATAATTCTAGTATCTGCCTGACTAATCTGAAAATCTAATGCTAATTTTGTCAATATAGCAGCAACTGCATACCACGGACTTGTAGAATATGCTACACTTGTTATTGCTGTGCATGCAACTACGCCCACCATGTTAAATGCTTTGCTTTGTTTAATCTGGTATAAACATATATCTCTGCATTTCCCAACTTTCCGATGTGCTATAAGAACATGAGCATAGTTATTAGCATTGTTATCTTCAATAATTATATTCAGAAACAATTTATTTTCATCTCCAGCTTTCATCAATTTTAGGGCATCTTGCAATTTTGGATAATTATGCTTTTGGTTAATAAGTATTTCGATTTGTTTGTCGCTAGCATTATCAATATTTGTCTGGTATAACTGCCAGTTAATTTTTATTGTGGAAATTTGACCATATATATTTTGAAATTTGTGAAATTTTAAATCTGTTAAATAATTACCACCATTCGTGGGAAAGAGATTCGAAGCATTACTACTTTCATTTATCATTATCCTAACTTGATTTACATATGACGCATAAAATTATCCAATAAAATACGATCTGTCCTGCAAGAAGAAAGCGATTGTTGATGCTCAGATTGTTGATTTGAGCTTGGTAAAAACAACTTTTTTTTATATATAGTTCAGAATATTTTCACATCCAGGTGGATAGTATAGAGATAACAAAGATAATTATCTAACAATTATTAGTTATTTAACTCGAATAGACTTCTCGGCTTATGCGAGATTCTGCATACAATACATAATCAACGCGGCATGCAGCGCCAAGCCCAATGTCACATTAGACGACTGATAGTATAGCAAAAGTTTTTATTTTTCCGATTCTGTTTTTCATTGCTCTAGTTGGCTTTTTCTGTCGTACGCATTCCTCAAGAACTGTCCCCAAGCGCATGAATTTCTTATTCATTCACTTGAGC